GAGAGAGAGAGAGAGAGAGAGAGAGAGAGAGAGAGGTCGTTCACCCAAAGGTAAGTGAACAAGAACTCACGAACGAAAACGAGAGGGTTATGAGAAACAACCTTTAGAAAAGAAAATAGAGGGTTTTCAAAATTATCCTTTAGAAAAAGAAGTAAACCAGAGATGTACCGAAAACTGCCACACCTGTGGCGAGTGCCTAAGCGGACCTCCCCAGGCCTCGTTCACAGTAATGATGACACTCTCAAAATTGTCAACGGGACGCATGGTTCCCAGTACAACGGAACACATGGTTCCCAGTACAACGGAACACATGGTCCCAGTAATGATGACACTCTCAAAATTGTCGACCTATTGCGGTCTGACCCATGAACCGAGTGCGCCTGGTTCCCACTTCCACGACCTAAAAGGGAAAGAGCTAGCCTACACTACGCATTAACAATTCTGCAAAAAAACGGAGCCATGTGCCCTCGTTCCTCTAAATGGCTACAATCCACAGCGGAACGCATGGTTCCCACTTCCATGACCTAAAAAACAGAAAGCTAGACTACTCTGCACATTAACAATTCTGCGGAAAACGAAGCCATGTGCCAAACCACAAAGCTCCAACCATGAAGGGACGACGACCAATCCTGGGAGAGGCATCCAGGCAAAGCAGCACACATTCCGACAACGCAGGGGCGGCGATCAATCCCGGGAGGGATGCGGACAAAGCAGCACATACCAGGGGAGTCTCGTGTACGAATACGACTTGGTTTCTCTTCTCGCACCAATTGCGAGAGGCGCAATCCTTGCTACATGGACCTTTGTCGATCCTGATTCGGCTCTTTGACCGGAACGCACCAAGCAAATCGTTATTCGACATCAACGAATGGCAACTCCAAGACCACAAACCACAGGAATCCACGCAGGAGACTCGCGAACGAATAAAGCTTGGTTTCTCCTCTCGCACCAATTGCGAGAGGCGCAATCCTTGCTACATGGATCGTTGTCGATCCTGCTTCGGCTCTTTGACCGGAATGTACCAAGCAGATCATTATTCGTCGCAAAAAAAGGGCAGCTCCTGGACCTTTTGTCATTGTCACGGGCGATCCTTGGTTTGAGGCTACTCATGGTGAAAAGAACAAGCGAAAAGAGAAGAAGCGACCGAGACGGGAGAGTCGGCAGAACACGAAAGCGACTTGAGGCCACACATGCAATATAGGCCTATATGTGAAGCGCGTGTCCACACATGCAATGTAGGCCTAAATTGCATGTGTGGTTTGAGGCCACACATGCAGCGAAGGCCTATATCGAAAGTGCGTGTCCCCACATGACATATAGGCCTATATCCAAAGGATACGGTGTGACCTCAGTCACTTCGCAGTCCATGAGCGAGTATTGGCCTTGAGGCCAATCGCTACCCCACCATGCGGACTCGACACCTCTTCACCGCCTGCCTTTCGTTTGCGCCCCTTCCTGCCGCCAACCGTGGTCCTGCTCGATTCTTGGCTTATGGCGGGACTCAAGACACTTTGCTGAGCATTTGCAGCAGCGGGAACAGGCCCGGACGCAGGTTGCGGCTCAGCCTCTGGTTTAGCTTCAGGAACAACGCTGGGCTCAGGCAAGGAAGCAGGCACGGGTCTACCCTCACCGGGAAGAGACACAACGAAAGTGAGCTCAGCACCGGTAACAGATTGCTCCACACCGGATGGGCCGGCAGCAGCCTCGGCAGTGGGCAAACTCGCACCTGACGGCCCGACAGCGACAGCCTCAGCGCTGTCCGCCACTCCAGCAGTGCCCGTGTTCTCGTCGGGCACGAGTTTATTTCCGGCAGACTTCGTATCCCCAGACAACTTAGAGGTCGAACTGCCTTGTGCTACCTTTTCTTTCTGCTTTGGCGTTTCGCGCGCAAGTGTGCCGCCGATGTCTGTCAGAAGCCTCGTGGCGATGCCCTTAGCGCACTTGGTGTTTATCTCCACCACAAGGCAATTTCGATTTGCCTCGACGCACGCTATGGCTTCTGTGCCGGAACCGGAGAAACCATCCAGAACGCAGGCCCTTGCGGGAGAGAATTTGTTCACAAGCCAGGAGTACAAAGTATACGGCTTCTGGTACGGGCAGAGAACACCGCCACCAGGGTGCTGGTACTTCTGCGTTACAACATTGAAGAGCTGGAAATTGTGACGCATATCAGCTTGGGATCAAAATTGTAATGCGTCATCTCGCGCTGCCCACTCTCACTGTAGTAGCCGAGCACGCAGAATTCGGTCGCACTCACAAGCCGCGGCCCACCCGGATTCGTCACATTAGGCTTGCACCACGTCAAAAGCTCCTGCCTTGCATTGCAAACCTCCCGGAACGCGGCACGGATGGAAGGAAGCATGTCCACGGAACAGAATCCCGCAACTGTCCACAACGGGGCACTGGAAACGTCCTTCAGATTGCGAAGAACCTCCACAACGTCCGACTCCGGAAACGGCTCATTATCAGATGCGTGGCCCTCATGCTCGAACCCGTAAGGGAAGTCGAAAATAGCCAGAGATATTGACAGTTTTTCTGTCTGCAGCTTCGACAGCAAGCGCATGTCGCCATTGATAATTTTCACTTCCGCCGAGTCGTTGTCGTGTGTCACCTTCGTCCACTCGACGAACGGTTCCACGAGAGGTTTCGTACGGAACGCGTGAATAGCGTTCTTCGCTTGCAGTCTCCTCTCCTTGTTCTTCCATTCAATGCCCCGTTTAATATGGCCATCCAGTGCGGGGATACTTGTCTGACCCCTTCTGATGCCACCAACAAACTTCTCCAAAATCTCTTTCTTTGTGTGGAGAGGATACTGCTTCTCGGTGTCCTTGAAGTCATCAGCGCCCACCCCCACTGCGAATGCCTTGCAGACGTAGGCGATTTGCTTGACAAGTTGGAACTTCTTCTCCATCTCCTTAAGCGAGATCTACTTCGAATGACCTCAAGGAGGATAGGGACGGCGTTCTCTGGAGCCATACTACCCATGGTTATCCAGTGTTGCGTTGGCATGTCCTCGGCGACCATGGGGACCTTGTTACCCTGCAGTTGCACCCGTGGATAAAGAAGCGCCATTTCTTGCTTCTTCGCAGCCGCCCTATCAAGCCTCTTCCCACGCTGGCTTTTCTTCGCGCCCTCGGACTCGCTCGTTTCCAGATTCTGGTCCGCTTTCAAGAAGCTCCTCGCAGCTGGCTTCAGTTTTTGGCCTTTGACCTCGCCCTTCTGCCACATGCTCATGATCTTACACATGAGCTCCCAAATCTCTTGGGGTTTGAAAGCACACTGCAGCAATGGGTCTTGGGCGTTCAATTTCTTCGCCGCGTTTGGAATCCCTGCTTCTTTCAGGCAAGCGAGCTTCACTTCTTGCGACTTGACGCACCCCCTGCCTTCAAAGACTTGGCGCCAACACCTGAGCTTCTCGATGAAGCTCAAGTCCCTGTGGTAACCTGCCGCAAGGTTATGCCTGTGGGCAACCTGCCTCGCCTCATCGATCGTGAGGCCAACGTAAACATAGCACACATTGTACTGGTACTCCTCGTTGTCGGGGTTCATGCGTGCTAACCGCTCCCTCGCTTCCCGACTGTGGGCACCACCAAGCACAAAAATGTCGTAGTGGCCGGCTCTCAGTTTCGTCAAGCTCACGTCTTCTTTGCACCCGGCCTGGGCAAGGTCGACTAGGCCAACGAAAGGAAGATGATATCTAGTTGGCTGCTTCAACATGGAGTCCATGATGGACTTCACATGGTCCTCATCCGACTCTCTCACCTCCATTGGTCTTTTCCCATTCACCAGAGGTGGCCTCTTCAAACATCTCATCGGCAGGTAAAAGGACTCGTGTGAAAGTTTCTTCTCCTTCAAACTCTTCAACTCCTCCCAAGTTTTTGTCAAATCTTCTGTGCACTCGTTCGGCACGAAACCTTGGGGTACTTGGAGTTCCTTTTCCCTTCCCTTCCCCTCCCCTTGCCCTTCTGGATGAGGCGGACCCGGTGTGACTGTTTTCTTCCCGCGAATCTTCCTGGGAATCGTCTTTGTACCCGATCCCCTTTCCAGACTACCGGAAAACCCGACAATGGTTTGAGGAGAAATCACATCTTTGGGATGCTGCGACCTCGCTTTGGAGCCACCCTTCGTGGCCGTCGTCGTCGTCGTCGTCAGAGTTTGTGATTTTTCTGCTTCCTCTGCACACTTTAAAGGAAGAAGTTTCTCGTCCAAATTTGCCCGTACGAACTCAGAAAGTCCTTCCACGAATGGCTGCGCAACACATTGGAAACAGAAGAAAAAACAATGGTCGACCAAGTGTGTCAGAGAAACTTATAGGCCTATAACACATACTTAGAGCAACACTGCGTACGACAAGTGCAATAGAACAACGCAAATGTGAAAAAACATTACAGGCTTGCAACCTCAAAGAGTCAAACTTCTGTAAACGAGGAGGACGTAGTCAATATTATAGGCCTATAACTTCCCAGGAACAAGGAAGACGTAGTGGAAGTTATAGGCCTACAACTGTCGGAAACAACATGGAGGTCATAGGCCTATAACTTTCGAAAAGGCCATGGAGGTTCAGGCTTGTAACTTTCACGGCGTATCCGGTAGTTATAGGCCTATAACTTCCACGGCGTTACCCGTAGTTATAGGCCTATAACTTCCACGGCGTATCCGGTAGTTGTAGGCCTTTAACTCTCGGATACGCCGTGAAAGTTTTAGGCCTATTCCTTCCGGTTACACCTTCAAAGAAACGGAATGAAACTTGCAGCTCTGCAACTTCCTGCGAAGAGAGACATGCAGTGGGAATTAGGGGAGATGAGAGCATTTACCATGCAACCAGTCTTGTTTAATGCCAACAACTTCTTGTTTTGGATGGGCATCTTCATGGGCATTAATTTATCCCCCTTCAACAGACATTTAGTGAGCTTGCCTTTGATAACGACCCACAACTCCGCGATGAGATATTTTTCAGTCACGTGCGCTGCAAATAAAATTTCGCTGATTTGTGCATAGACACCGTTGTCGTTGGTCTTGACGTGAAGATAAGCTAATCCAGCTGTGACGTACATGGCCCAAAAGAATACCTGAAGTCGCTGCGAACGGGCCTCGACTCGAGGAACTCTCTCTGCCAGCTGTCGTCCTCCTCCATTGGATCTTCTTCCTCGTCCTCTTCCTCTTCTTCTTCTTCTTCTTCTTCTTCTTCTTCTTCTTCGTCTTCTTCTCCTTCCTCTTCTTCTTCTTCTTCTTCTTCTACTCCTTCCTCTTCCTCTTCCTCTTCCTCTCCTTCCTCTCCCTCTCCTTCCTCTTCCTCTCCTTCGCCTTCTCCTGCCACGAACTCTCCGTCTTCTAAAACATATTCATCCTCATATCCTTCTCCCATTTGGGGAAAATCATCCTGCTCCGGTGGCCGCCTTTGCTGCACAACCCCTTCGGAGCACGCCGGCTGCCCCCGACAAGACACTGTGCCGGTTCTTCTTGCACTCCTCCCCTTGCTTGCACCCCTCGCGCCTCGGGATGTCTTCATCGTCACGAATGGACCACACGCAAAGAGCCATCCAAAACAAATGTTCACCTCGGTAAGAGTGGTTACAGGGCCCTACCACCCCTGCTTGTTTTGCCCGTGTGTCTCTGTGCCCGTGTGTGTCTGTGTTAGTCTGTGTTAGTCTGTGTGTGTCTCCCTGTGCCCGTGTGTGTCTGTGTGTGTTGCTCTTCGTTTGTGTGTGTGTCTGTGTATGCGTCTGTGCCTGTGTGTGCGTCGTTGTTTGTGTCTGTGTGTGTGCCTCTGTGTGTGTGGCAGGCAAGTCAAAGGTGCTTGTCGGCCATAAGCACGTTTGGGACCACTTCCAAGCCTTTGTTTTCATGTATGTCTGTGTGTCTCTGTTTGTGTGTATGGCTATCTTTGCGTGTGTGCATGTGTGTCTGTGTGCCTCTGTGTGTGTGGCAGGCGTGTTTGAGTGTGTGTGTGTGTGTGTGTGTGTGTCTGTGTGTTCTTGTGTGTCTGGTTGTGTGCGTCTTTATGCGTCTTTATGTCTTTATGTCTGTGTATGTCTGTGTGCGTCTGGGGTAACTGGTTGACAATACAAGCCTGTGTCTTTAGGCGAGAGTGATTTAATGCCTGTGTTGGTTCTGGGGAAACTTTTTGACAATACAAGCCTGTTCTTGTGTTCGTGTGTGTGTCTTTGTGCCTGTGTTCTTTTGTGTGTGTCTAACAGTGATTTTAGACCTTTGATTTTCTTGGGGAAACTTTCCAGCACTTCAAGCCTGTGTTTTTGTGTGTATGTCTGTGCGTGTCTCTGTTTGTGTGTGTGTGTGTCTATGTCTGAATGTTTGTGTGCCTGTGTTCTTGTGGGCGTGCCTGTGAGTGTATGTTTGTGCCTTTGTGTGTGTGTGTGCGTGTCTGTCTGTGTGTGCCTAGCTGTGTCCTTGTGCGCGTCTATCTGTGTGTGAACTCGACTGCCACAGACGAAAGTGGTTAAGGGCCTACAACAGTTCTGTGAATGTCCTTGCGTTAGTCTGAGCCACTGTGCACAGACAGACACAGGCACGGAAACAGACACAAAAAGACAGACGCACACAGACATAGGTTGTGTCTGTGTTCGTGTGCTGTGCACAAAAAGACATACGAACACAGACACGGATTGTGCGTGTCTTTGTCGTTGTGTGTGTTGGTGTGCGTGTATCTGTGTGTGTCTAACTGTGTCCTTGTGTGTGTGTATCTGTGTGCCTGTGTTTTGTGTATGTGTCTACCCGTGATTGAAGGCCTGTGATTTTCTTGGAAAAACTTATCAGCACTTCAAGCCTGTGTTTTTGTGTATGTGTCTGTGTGTGTATCTGTGTGTGTGTCTGTGTGTATGTCTGTGTGTGTGTTTGTGTGTGTCTCTGTTTGTGTGTGTGTGTCTCTCTGTCTGAACGCCTGCGTATGTCTGTGTGCCTGTGTTCTTGTGTGCGTGCCTGTGAGTGTATGTTTGTGCCTGTGTCTGTATGCGGCCTCGGGCACAAAAATATGCGAAGGTGCTTGTAGGCCTTAAACACTTTTGGGACCGCTATCAGGCCTTTGTCTTTATGTGTGTCTGTGTGTCTGTGTTTGTGTGTGTGGCTGTCTGTGCGTGTGTGTGTGTCTGTGTGTCTGTATGGTTGTCTGTGCGTGTGTGTGTGTCTGTGTTTGTGTGTGTGGCTGTTTGTGCGTGTGTGTGTGTCTGTGTGTGTGTGTACCTGTGTTTGCGTGTGTATGTGTGCGTGTGTGTCTATGTGTGTATCTGTGTGTTCTTGTGTCTGGTTGTGTGCGTCTGTGCCTGTGTGTGTTTGGTTGTGTTTGTGGTTGTGTCTGTTTGTGTGTGTCTAACTGTGTCCGTCTAACTGTGTCCTTGTGTGTGTGTGCCTGTGTGTGA